CCGAAAGTGCCAAAGGAGGGATTTGAAAACGAGCGCCAACTGCAGAGGGCGCCAACAGTCAGAAACCGAAGAGCAGGTAATAAAAAAAAAAAAAAGGCAGGCTGACGGGTGGTAGCCCGCGGACCAGGGATCGAGCCCGGCTGAGTCCGTAACACCCGTGACACTTAAGAGCAGCGGAAAAACACTCAAGTAGCAGGTAGGCCGGTACCACACCCCGTAGAAGTGGATGTGCCGGGTTCTCGAGGCCGAGCAGAAGAAGACAAAGTTGGCATTTTTAGAGGCGCAGTAGCGGTAGGCTAGGTCTAGGCGGGTACCAGTCCATCCAATCTGAGTCTAGGGCCTGGATGGGCAATATCAGAGTCTGCAATGATGTTTCCCTCCCAAAAGGAGGAGGTAGCAGTTGCTTGGGAGGCCGAGCGGCCTGGAAGTCACCGCCCAGGAGGCAAGTAGGCCGCTATATCTGGAGGCTGAGCAAAGAGCCCAGCCTCTTTCTTCAGTGTGCAAGTTTGGCGACACACTGCTGGAGCGCTGGTTGGAGGAGCAATGGCTACTACAGCGCTGCTGGGAGGAAGAAGCCTGGGAGCTTCCACCTTGGCTATGGTGGAGCTCTACCGGTAGGAGGAGGAGGAAGAAGAGAACCAGGGAGGAGAGTGGCGAGGCACCTACCTGGCTATGGTGGACACCATCTTCATCACCTTGTTAGGCGCTGTATCTGGAAGGCCCCAGTTGGGGTAGTGCAGCATCAAGGAAGCTCAGGACAGAGTCAAGCATGGCAGCTGAATGGGCAGCAGCGTAGCTGCCTTGTGTTGACCTTGGGACAGGAGGGCAGCGACATAGCTGCTTTGGGTTGTCCTTTGGACAGGAGGGTAGAGCCCTCAGTACTCTGCCATAGCCTCGGCCTACATGAAGAGGAAGAGGAAGGGTGGCCATGGCTATGATGGACCTCATGTTGTGCCTGTAGCAGAAGAGGGATTCGGACATTGATTCTGGTTCAGCCATTCAACATTGTTATTGTCATTTCTTGTTCGAATAAGAGGGGAGGAAATAAGGAGGAGAGTGGTTGGCGAAGAAGAAGAGCATTGTCATTGGTCTATGCTGGAGTACATCATCATCTTCTTCTCTCTTTCTTCTTCTTCTTCTTCTTTCCCTCTCTCTCTTCTCAAGTCCATTCATTTCTTTTTGCAATTGGACGGCATTGTGCTTTCTGATGAATGTGTACTTCAAAATTGGGCAGGATCGTAACGTTTCTTTTTTTTTTCTTAAGCGTTCACACCTTAACGTGTGCATTAAATATGTCCCCACGTCATTTTCAGTGTAACTATGGGGCTCGTTAGACACTCCTCGGGCGCTCAAAAAACCCGAGGAATTGATCGTTCCATCTGTCCTCGGAGAGTGCTCCCTCGAAATCGATGTGAAAACATTTCCTCGGGGCGTCTCCGGGCTACAGGCATTTGGCTGCGTTCCCCAAGGTACCTCGCGAGGTCCCTCGGAGTGGGAGTTTCCGCGAAAATCGGGAAGGCGGCGGCGCTCTTCGACGACGTCAGAATTTTGTAGTCTGGTACATTGCTGGTCCAGCCGAGGTGCGGGCGGACATTAGCGGCCGGCAATGTTCGACTCCAGTGGGAATGACCGCAACGGTAAGGTTGGGTGGCGGACGGGGTCCCTGGCCGTTTCCGGTTTATCCCAGCACCTCACCAGCGCCGGCGGGAAACGGGAAGGCCTCCAACGGCCAGCCGTTTCGAAAATGAGAGCGGCGTACGTCCGTCACTGCGCGCAGTGCTCCACAATGTAAAGCGGCAGAGGGCGTCACCAGTCGTCCCACGCACGCCTGCTGTTTGCCGCCGTCTAGGTAGACATTACGTTGTCGTGCATTGTCGTCGTTAGTTGCCCTTGCGAGAACGGTTGTGTTACATGGCCGACGTGCTCCGCAAGCTGCCGCTGGTCCTCCTCGTCGTGATTCTGCTTCTCGTTGTCGTCTTTGTTCAGGTGTGCATATTGGGGAGGTTGCCTTCACGTACTCGCAGGAAACGAGGGGTGAGGAAGAGCGTGGCCATGGACGGGCGGCGGCCGAATCTTGCCACGTTGTCGGACACTTATCCCAGCCTCCGGCCTGCGATCTGCACCGGTGTAGACAGAAGGGCAGCAGGTCCGTCGCCGTACGAAGGACTCCCGCCTCACATGCAGCCTCTGCCCTATTCGGACGACGGGGAGGCGGACGTGGACGTGTCCAACACAGTTCCGCTGGGTAGCGGGTCGACCCAGGAATGGACGGGTAGCCAGTTGTATGATCGGCGCGGAGCGAAGTACAGGCAGTTGTTCACTTCCCTCCTCCACGAAGGTGCCCAGGACGAGGAATGCCTCCCCCCTGTGGATCTCACATTTGTCCTGCGGAGCGGGAGCCCATCTTCTGCCACGCGCACTGTGCTCGTGAACCCTCATCCCAACGACGACGCGGGGCAGGTGACATTGGTCGGCAGGGGCACGACGGGTGGTTCTGCGCCTCAGGAGACGTCGGAGAAGACGAGGGAGCGGCCTCGAGTGCAGGCGACTTGTGGCCCGTCAATTCCACGCACCACCGGTGGTCGCCCTGAGTGGATGAACCCCCCTCCTGCGTTCTCCAGGGGCCGCGACACCGTTCCTCGTCCCGAGGAACGGGGTGTGACTGAGGAAGACTTCCCTTTCGAGGGCGCGCATGGAGATGGCAGGCGGGTATGGAAGGAGTCGAGGCAGGAGTTGCGGCGGCAGCAAGAAGCCACACTATCAGCCCGAGCAATATTGCAGATACCGGTGGCGCAGGAGGTGTGCAACTCCCATCTGCATAGTCGGCGACTCCGGAATCTGTGGGGGACGGGGATGCCGCTGGAGATGGCAACGACGAAGACGACAACTCATCGCGTGGGGGCTCACAGACGACTAGAAGTCCGGCCGGTTTCGGGAAGAGGAAAAACGTGCGGCAGCAGACATTCGAGGCCTTAACCGAGTGCATGGAGAAGCATGGGGCGTTGATGGCGTCGACGATGAAGAGCGCGAGCAGGAGGCAATGCGAGGCGATGGAGAGCGCGAGCAAGAGGCAATGCTCCATTCAAATTCGGCAGTGTGAGGCTATTAAAGAGGAGGTGGAGGTCCAGAAGCAACACTGCGCTGCGTCTAATGAAGTTAGCAAGCTTATGTGTCATGCGGTGCTGGAAATAGCAAAGGCTATACGAGAGCGATAGACGGGAACGTCTGCCACAGGGCATTGTTCGGCTACGGATGTCACTCTGCTGCCACGCACGTGTCGTCTACTTTAGTCGGATGGAGTTCATTCGCACTCCTAGTTCATTTCGTGCCATGGGCTTGTTTTCGGTTTGTGTCTGTAGAGGAGTGGCAGATTGTCTGTCCTGCGCGTACTTCTGTCGGTCTGTCCATCTTCTCCGTGGATTTATTCTATTGTACATTGTGGAGCGCGGAGTGCCCTTATTTTTTTACTTATTTGTTTATCGCTTCGGCCGTAGTTGTAGTGTGCTCGTAATCGGGAGGTGGTCGGATGATCCGACCACACTGCGGTGATGAACGTGGCGGGTAGAGGTTCGTGGACGACCGTTTGATTCGTTTCTTTAGTTTGCAAAGTGGATACATCGAGAGTTTGAACTTTCTGTCTTCCGGGATTTGCATGTCCATCGTGACAGCGAGACGGCGAGAGAGAGAGAGAATTGGAAATTTGTTATTGTTGGCTCCTATTGCTGAATTTGGCTTCCATTTTCTGTCACCCACGATGCACTTGTACAATGTATGTGTTCCCTTGTCCTCTGTGTATTGGTTTGTTAGAGAGAGAGAGAGAGAGAGAGAGAGAGAGAGAGAGAGAGAGAGAGAGAGAGAGAGAGTACTTTGATTTGCAATATGGTAGGCTGTTATGATGTGGACGTTTTCTTGGCTCTCTTCACTGCATGATATTTGCTTTCCTTGCAGTGAACACATGTCTCTAGCCACCACGTCTTTCGTTTCTTGTGTCGTATTGAATGGACATTTCTTTTATCAACGGTATTGCTATGTATGTCATGCCATTTATTATCTCCCTCAAAAAGGTCTCGAAGTTTGAAATTCAATTTCTATGTTGGACTTCCCTTTATTTTTTTTTTATTTTTTTTTGTGGGCGTGCGTATCAGACTCCAATGACACGGCCAGCGGGGGGTGTGGCGGGCTTTTTTGGGCGTTGTATCGTCATTTGTAGGCGGGGGTGTTCGTTTTTTTTGGGGGTCTGATTGGCGGAATGCCGCATACCCACCGTGCGTGTGTCGGAAAAGGGGTTGCAAATGGAATGATCCCTCTGCCATTCCCTTCACCCTGTAGCCAACCTGTGCGGTGCCGTCGGCGCGTGAGGAACATTTGGGAGGACTACGATATGACCTGTCCCCGCAGGCGGTGGCCAGACGACATCTTCGCGTTCGGACTCCTCATCGCGCACTGCATGTGTCGCCGCCATCGCGCAGTCCCAACGTCATCTTCACGTTGGGACTCCTGTTCGCGCACTGTGCGTCTCGCCGCCATCGCTCTCGCCAGACATCATCTTTACGTGTGGAATCCTCTTCGCGCACTGTTTTTCTCGCCACCGCCGTTTTCGCCAGACGTCGTGTTCACGCTTGGACTCCACGTGCGCAGCCTTTGCCTCGCCGCCTTCGTTCTCGCCCTTCCTTTTTCTCGACCGCTCATCTTTCTCGCCATTCGGTCGGGCATCATTGTGGCAGCCGTGTGGTTGTCGTGTCTTCGTCATCGCCATCATCGTTGTCTGTCTTCTCGACGATGACGGATACTCGCAACTCTGGCAAGGGGAAAAGGGGGAGGGATTCCCTGAAAACGGAAGCTGCCGGCGTCGTGAAGCGGGGGAGGCATCAGGCGAAGAAGCCCAAGGCATCAAGCGGCGGTGCTCTGGTGATCGGGAGGTCCGCGGGGGAAGAGTGGGTTACCGAGGCCACCAGCGGAGAGGACGACGATTTCGAATCGGAGGCGGACACGTTTCATGGGAGGAAAGGGACCTTGTGTGAACTGTAGAACGCGCAAATGGTGAGCGGAGAGGAAGGCGTCGACGGTGGTAAGGATGGGGGTCACGGGGTTGAGAGTGGCAAGGGTGAGGCGAGCAGCGACGTGGGAGGCGGTGTTGCTGCCAGGGAGGAGCACGGCCAGCCGACGACCCCTGGCATGCGCGACGCCGTGCCGTCGAAGGACGTCCAGGCGGCCCAGGACGTCGATAGACAGCCGCCAACGCGGGCGCCTTCAAACCCAACGACGCCCACGGCGGGACAGGCGAGAAGGGACGAAGGAGCGGGGGTGAATGCGGCAGTTAGGGGACAGCTTGCGACGCGCATTCCCGCTAAGGAAGCCGCAGCGGTGGGGAACGTCGGTGGTACATCGACAACAGGCGCGGGGGGGGGGGGGGGGGGACGGTCGTGATGATGCTGATGACGACGATCCCCTCATTAACAGGCAGAGGCGATCTGGAAACCTGGCGGCTCTGGAGGCGAAAGCGAAACTGTGGGTGGACGATCTGCGTTTCTGGAACGAGACGGAGGGGCATGGGATGTTCAAGATCATCCAGGAGACGCGCCTGCACCTCATCGCCATCGCGAAGGGTGTGAAACCGTCGGAGATCAGAAAAAGCATTGTCATCCCGAACGCCACGATCCCTCAGCAGAAGCTGGAAGACKYRTCGGAGTTGGGGGCCGCSAAGGAGAGGGCTTCGAGGGTGCAGACCATAGCGTTACGCATCATCCATGGGTGGATCTTCAAGTCCCCCAATCGCGCGCGYGGGTACCACTGCTCCTACGGCTATGTGCTGAACCACGTCGCCACAGACCTCGCCCGCGCCATCTGGTTTGGAGAGGACTGGCGGGTATGTGTGAGTCCGGCGGTCGTCCATAACACTTTGGAGCTTCATATGAAGCTCCCCATCTGGTACGTAGGTGGCGTCATACACGACAGGCACGAGGACGACGAGATGGCGTCGTATCAGGAGTCCACAACGCAGCGTCTGGTGGGAGCTTTCACGAATGCTGTTGACATGGGGGAGGGGGTAGACGGCGGGCGGATATCGTACGAGAGGCTGAGGAACGTGGCAGACTGCATGCGCCTCTTGCTGTCTGCCGCCATGTGGATCATGAGGATGGCAGGAGATAATCTCCGTTCGCATTATGAGGCATCCCATCTCGTGGAGCTCATTGCGAAACCGACGCTCATTGCGTCGCTACATCGATCGTTCGACGCGCGCCGCCATGTTCTGCAGTGTGTGAATGCAGTAACAGAGAAAATGGGGAAGCCCCCCATGACGTTGGTTGACCCTCCGGTGTACATCCCCGAGTGGGTTTCGTGTGGGGTGTCGTTCCACAACGACGCCACGTTGACGTCTCCTAAGCTCGCCAGACGACTAGATTGGATAGGCACCGGACCTCCGGAGGTCGATGATGAAGACGACGAGAAGGACGAGGGCGGGGAATCGTGACGGCAGGCGTTGTGGACGACGACAGGAGGTGACCGCGCACAGCCACCCGCCGGTGCTGCTGCTGATGGCGATGATGTCGACGATGATGACGTTGTTGATGATGATGATAACGGTGACGATGATGATGATGGTGACGACAACGATGATGATGATGACGATGTTCATGATGATGATGACGATCATGATGATGACGATCATGATGATGACGGTGACGATGATGATGGTGATGATGAAGATGATGATGATGATGAAGATGATGATGATGATGACGATGATGATGACGAAGGTGGTGATGGTGATGACGACGATGGTGGTGACGATGTCGATGTCGTCGATGATGATGGGGATAGGAGTTGGCATGGCGTGTAAATAGCGGTTGTGCGCGTTTCGTAGACTGTCTTCTACTTCCCTTGCGTCGAGTCGTTTCCTGTTGTAAAAGTGGTTACCGAGTAGGGGTGAGAACTCGGCTTCATAAAGCTGACAGCAAAGTGCAGTCGACATGCACGTCTTTTCATTAAAGGGGCCACTCATCGTCGACTGTCCGGTGTCATTAACGTCCATCATGTCTATGCGCATCATTGATGCTAATTTGATTTCGTGTGCTATGGCGAATGTTCGTTTTATATCACAGTCGTGTTTTCTTATGTTTGTTCTTTCGGATTGCAAAGCTTCCATGTAAAGTTGTAGGTGATAAGGTGCTTGAATTCTGTGTGAGAGATTGACGTTTTCACTCAGTGACCTTCTTTCTCCTGCACTCATCGTTCAACCATTCACAACACTTTCACGAAGATGAAGACGAATGATTGGCAACAGAAAATATGTACTCCAACATTTGGACTATGGACATATGTGGACTCAAATGAATGCTATCATCAATGGCTTGCAGTCATTCACATCATTACGCACATAAGTACGCCCTCATTTGGGCACACGACAAGCAATAAAACTCGGCGAACAGAACACAACAATCATCAAACCGTTGTAAACAAATGAAAAGTACACTGTGCGCAGCACTGCGCTTCGGAAAACGGGGAAAAGGAACCCCGGCGCATGCATGCGTCTGTCGCACACCACAGACCCGAATCCCGTATGCATGAGGTTCACAGACCACAGTAATCGGCCGCCACCACCACATCTGCCGCCCTATGGCTTGCGCATAGACTAGGAATAAAGCACTAACAACGCGTCAATGTGAAGGCACGGATCGAAAGAAAACAAAAAAAAAAAGCGGTCGTCACCAATCGGAATGTGGACGACACAATGGAGGGGGACTACTACACTACACAGACGTTCTCCGGTCTTCGTCCGACAATGACGAAGATGACTTGGACGGCATCACACAATCTACTGTCTCCTTCGTCTCTCGGCACGCTGCTTCCTTCTCCTGACGCCGTCAAACGCTCTTCCACGTACGCAGGTTACATCTACTTCCACCCTGCGCCGCCGACATCTCTCATCGCTGCATCATTCGCTCCGCCAGCGCCTGACGCAGCATGACCGCTTCCCCCGTAGAAGTTTCCATGCACAAAGGCCTGGGGGGGCGCTGGATCCCAAGATCCACTCGACGGCGAACTCCATTGGCGTCCACCTCCCACAGCAAGTTCTCATCGAAAGGGATCCCGGCGTCGATTAGGATGTTGTGCAAGATGCAGACGACCACAAACTGCTGCAGCAAGGTCTCCATGTTAGTCTTGTGCGACCCAAGGAACAACCGCCACATTCCCTTCAGTCTCCCGAAGGCCCTCTCCACCGCCCCCCTCGCCGTCTTCTGTTTGCTGTCGAAACGGGCCTCGAATGGAGTCTGCGCCGTGCCGCCATAGGGGACAACTATCCATTCGCTCGGCGGGTAACCATTGTCGCCCAGCAGATAACCATTGGTCTGCACTTGGAACGGCAGCAACACAGGAGGCCCTGTGAACAACTCGCCCGCCGCCGCACGCGGCCATAGACTGGACAGATGGATGACCCTGACGTCGTGGCAACTCCCCGGATAACCCATGAACACATGGAGGACGCGCAAGTCCAAGTCCACCACAACTTGAGCGACGACAGAGAATCGTCTCTTGCGGTCGTAGTAGTCTTTTGGAGCCGCGTTCGCCGACTTGTTGATGTAGATATGGGTGCAATCGATGCACCCATGACGGTTTGGGAAACCCTTGTCCGCAAAAGCACGCAGAACAACCGCCTTCCGCACCCCACTCGGCCGCGCCACCTTCTCCCTGTACACCGAAAGCAGCGGAGCTGTGACGTCCCGGACGGCCACCAAACCCGAAGCCCTGCCAATTCCAAAGCCGCAGTTGCTGCTCTCGTATGTCTCGCCAGACGCCCATCTGTAAAGCGCGTAGGTGACGATGTGGTCCGGCTGCAAAGGCTCTCTGTAGAACGTCACACGTCGCTCGAGAATCGGCGACAAGTTCTCAACGATCTCACGGAAGACACGTGGAGACATCCGTAATTTGTCGCGGAAGTAGTCTTCAGTGGCGTCGTCTGCAGGCCGAATATCCTCCCAAGTTCCCCCCGTCCTTCGTTTCACCCACCACCTCGGGGTCGCCCTCGGCAGTCCCCCACACCCCAGGGCGCAGCATACCTCAAACACGGCGTCAGAGATGGCGACGCTATCCAACCCTTCACACGTCGGCGGCTGCATCACCTTCCTTCTTCGAGCACGTAGCCGTGCCCACCGTCGTTCGCCTTCGACCTCCGTCTCGCAATGCATGATGACGGCGGGGACGGCGGACGTCACTGCAGCCCTCTCCAAATCGGACAACCTAGGCCTGCCCTCATCCCCATCACCGACCGACAGCATATCGACTACCGAAGACATCGCACTCATCCACACCGGCAGAAGTCGCCCAAACGACGACACAAGGCCACCACCAATGGACACTGGCAACGAAGAAGTTCGCGGAGATGGCGTTCGGGGCAGAATGCGCGAACACGAACACGCAAGACGGCGGTGGCGCTCACTGTTGCTGTCCTAGCCAGGGTGCGTCACGTCTTGTAATACGTGTGGACGTCTGTGCTGACGCCCAAACGGCCATGAGCTCATCCGCATGACGCCCACTGCAACACCCCTGCGCTTCCCCGATGGAGTCGTCCCACGCACGCATCTCCCCGCCCCACCGCAGCAGACGCCATGCTTGGCCGATTCAAATTTCGCATTTTGAAATCACGCGCGCGCGCGCGCAATTTTCCTTTTCCCGCGGCGGCGGCAGTCCCTTTTCAAATTCGCCGCCCATATGCGGTGGACCAAGTCCAGCCAGACGAACACCAGACGATGGACCACCGCCCAAACAGTCGTCCTGCGGCCGCGTATAACATTATACGACTCCCCGCAGCCAGTCCTCGGAGCATCCTCAGGGATCGTCCCGAGGGATCAGTGGAACGAAAGCGGGAAAATCCTCGGGCTGCCCCGAGGATTTCCCCTCGGAGCCCGAGAACGGCCCGAGGAGTGTCTAACGAGCCCCTATCTCAACTTGGACATCATTGGGAGGTAAAAGAATAAATCATAAATGCTAAGGAACTTAGGAAAGAAAACATTTTTTCCAGTCTGTCATCTGGCGCTAGGTCTCATCTGAAGCTAGGTCCTACTTACAGCGTTGAGTTTTCAACCACATGTGGCATGTGGGACAGATCCCTGCCTTCAATCCTGGAAATTGATAGGTAGGGATTTTTATTTTTTCTCCCAATGTAGTTTCCTAGCCATAGACACATCTTGGTTAGCGCTCATGGAGTGCGCCATTGCCCCATTTAGCAGCATATGTTTGGGCTTTCTTAGGATTTATTTTGCTTGTTTGAGGTCCAGATGAACAGATAGCTGCCAACCAACAACTTGTCCACAAGGCTCGTCTCCCCACTTTGTTTTAGCTCCTTGCCCACCCCATCCCAGCACACCAG